CTTGAAATGACCATAGACACAAGATCTTTGGTAGACTGGTTTTTTCAAATCAAGGTCCCTGTTAAAATGCAATGATACAGGTTTTAGGAATATATTACTAAAGTGCACTGTGTGAAAGTGTTTTTTTGGTAATAAGATAAATTTTATCACCATAAAAAGTAGGTGAAATAATGATAGCTGAAGTTATATTTCAGCTATTTTATACGGTGTTAAAGTTTATCCTATTCCACAACTGTTTCTTTAGAAACATCAACGCAGCTACTAGTTTGCCTCTAGTTTACATTATCAGAGTGGGAATAAGTGTTGAGATGTAACAAAGTAGCCAATACTTACTTGACAATTCTTCCTGGTCGTAAATCGAAGTTTTCCCGGACAATCTGTAAGAGTTCATCTTCAGACTTTGTGCTTGTTCCATAGGAGAACACAGTTACAGACAAGGGCTGAGCAATACCAATAGCATAGGAAATTTGAACTAAAACACGTCTGCATAGCTTTGCTGCTACAAGAGACTTTGCAATCCATCTGGCAGCATATGCTGCTGATCTATCAACCTAAAATAGACAAAAACAAATTCTATTACTTTTATAGAAAAGTTTTTCTTTTGTACGTATAACAGTTTGATGGATAGATGTTTATATTTTACGAATTATGAAAACAATACCTTTGTATAGTCTTTACCAGAGAAGGCACCTCCACCATGAGCTCCCCAGCCACCATAAGTATCGACAATGATCTTTCTTCCTGTCAAACCAGCATCACCTTGTGGTCCACCAATAACAAACAGCCCTGATGGTTGCAAGTGAAAGACGGTTTCTTCATCTAGGTACTTAGCTGGTACAACAGTCTGTCAAGAGAATGCACCAAGAACAATATATAAAATGTACTGTTAGGGAAAGCATTCAGTGATTAATATTTTTTTCAAGAGATACAAGATCACTACCTTGACAATCTTCTCCATTAATTCCTTTCTAAGTTTCTCTACTGTGATAGACGGATCATGCTGTACAGAGATGACGATGGTGTGAACACGAAGAGGAATAGCTGAACCATTCTCAAATTTATACTCCACTGTGACTTGTGTCTTTGAATCTGGCCGCACCCAGGGCATGGTGCCATCTCGYCGGCAATCTGCTAGTTTTCTATTCATACCRTGYGCTAATACTACTGTTAAAGGCATAAGTTCTTCAGTTTCRTCAGTAGCATAACCAAACATAAGACCTTGATCACCAGCACCTACGTCATCTTCATGTCGTCCTAGATGTACACCTTGAGCAATGTCGGCACTTTGTTGTTCAAGGGCTACAAGTACGTTGCATGTTTTATAATCAAAACCTAAAAAGAAAAAAATGGAAGTCATCCTTGAGCAGCATAGTAAACTAGATCTACACTCAGCAGTTTTGGCTACATTCTTATTTTTTTCTAATATTTTTTTTCATTTCACTCTAAAATTCTTCTTTTTATTCATTTTAAGGATCGGTAGAACAATTTGAAACGAAGAGAGTTTTTTTTTTTTTTTTACATAGAGTTTTTTCATTATGAAGCTACCCAGCAACATAACTATCTTAAATTGAAACGAATGATTACATTAATGAAACAAGGTTAAGTATTTTTTATGAAATTATCTTGTACCTTTGCTAGAGTCATCATAGCCAATATCTTTAATGCAGTCACGTACTACTTGTTGGTAGTCGATTTGTGCATTTGACGTGATCTCCCCACAGAGCAATATCATACCAGTCTTGGCAACAGTCTCTGCAAAGACGACGTTAAAATTAATGCATGCATAAATGTACTATATGACGGTATCCATGAAACTAAAAGCCTTTTTATTATACATGTATCTGTGAAACACTTTATATCAAAGCCCTTTTCCTAAATACTAGTAAGGAAACATGATATAGGATGAAATGATTCCTGGAATACTGAACTACATGCTTCTCATCAAAGCTCTTTAAAAGCTAGCAAGCTTTAATTAAATTTTGTAGAGACATTAATTTTTCAAGTATGCTTATTTTATAGAGAATAAGCATATTTGACATATTCATATCTTAACATATGTTTGTTGGAAGTATGCCTATACCACAAGACATCCATGCTATCTGATCTCTTATGGCTTTTTGAAAGATTTTACAGAGCTTGAAAGTGCAGCCTTGGGGGCCATTTTGTCAAGGTTGAAAAAAGTTTGGCACCCATTTTGGAAAAAGGTCATTGCACAGAAATAGGGGGCAAACAAGAATTTTGTACTATTAATGGATGCACTCTAACAATGCAAATAACAATGGCAGCTTATCTATTTTGTAGAATTTTGTTGGCCAATTTAATCAAAAATATAATGAATGCACACTTTTAGTGAAACAACAATAGAAACTTATCTAGCTGTCTTTGACTGACTATACTCACTCATGCAAATACTTTAATCCACTTAAAATTCAGCATTTGCTTCAAAGATTAGAATGCTAGGTGGACTTGGGAAATAGGGCTACTGCCCCTGGCCACAATTGAGAAATTTTAATCTTATTGCAAGGCTGCAGGGCTCCCAAATTATTATTCAAGTATGCATAAAACTAATAAGCCAAGACACTGTGCCAAATACAAATCATGAAACCATGGCAAACATTCATATTTAAATTATTTTTGGTTTTATATAAATGTTAATTTATAAAAATGCTAAAATATTTTTAACTGCAGCTACTCTCAAGCTTCTGGTAGCCACCACTATGATAAAAATACTTTCACAATTTGTCCTTTTTTGTACAGAGGAGAAAGGGTTATATTCTAATTTCCATGTACAGTATTGTCTTAAAAAGAATTTTTCTTGACATTTTCAAGAGAATTGAAATGCAATGCACACAATGGCTTAGTTTGAGTCTAATTCACCATTAAAAAAACTTTATTTTCTATATGGTAAAAAAACGACAAAAATTAAATCCATGCTTATAAGTAGCATTCCAGGTTATTTCAATGTTGGATATTCCATTTGGCTAAAAAAGAAGTAAATAAATAAAATATTTAATAAAAGGTGTTAAAGTATTGCATCATTTATATAAGGTGTGACAGCCTGTCACGTACAGTTTCCTCGCCAATCATAAAATTTAATGTACAAAAATTAATTTATAAGGAAAATAGAATAAATTATTTATTTAACTGTGCAGGAATACTGGAATAACATTCTTTCAAAGCCTTAAAGGATCTTGTTGCAAAGCATGATTCGTTGTCTAGTAGTTTTCCCAACACAATGGGATTTTGCAATATCGGCCTCAATGTCTCATGTGACGATGGGGTCATACAGTAGTAATTTTCCTAACACAAAATGTAATGCCAACCCGCAGCTATCGACGTAACGAAAAAAGTTGTACACGAAGGAATGCAAACAAAGCAAAACAAGTCTTTAGTTCTCTAAAACAGGGCACACTTCGAGAGTGACCTGACAAACGAGTGTAAAACCGGTTGGTGTGTTGATATATCGTACTCACTACGCAAAACAAAATACACGATTTTTTTTCCCGCAAAATATACGGTATCAATATTCATACCAAGATATAAATATTCTAAAAGTTGATAAGGATTTACTAATAAATGCAAAACAATTCCCAGGGCAAAATGACTCTGTAAATAGAGAAAACTTGTACATGTAGCATGCAAACATCATCCACAAAGCTACACCTAGAGTAAAATAGCAGGATGATTTCAACCTACCACAAGCGACTTTGGCGTTGGGATCCTCCTTTAAATGTGCGTCCAAAATCGCATCCGATATCTGATCACACATCTTATCTATAAGCAAAAGAAAAAGAATTTTAAGTCGAGCTGTTGTCAATTTTGAAAGATATTTACAGAGACAAAAAAAGCGAGCGACACGTGCAATTGACAATAATCGGCTTCAGTTTTGACAAAATTACCTGGATGTCCTTCACCAACGGACTCCGAGGTGAATAAAAAAGTGTTGTTCTGTGTATCAGGATTTTCCATTTTGAATTTCTTCTCTGGAGGYTGACCGTTCAAGGCAAATGGATCGTTGTTAGAGTGGATATGACTCATGATTTTTGAGGCAGCTAATAAATCGACCGAGCGAGTACACCCGAGCGTCAAATAAAGGCCTGGAACTAGCGCTGTGATTGGTCACAGCTATCAGTCACGAAGCTCATATTTCAATGGCTCCAAACGAGTTATTTTCCCGTACAACAAGTAAATTGGATTTAAGTTAACAATCTCTAAGGTGTCAAGTTGAATAATCACGAGTTTTGAATCTTCTAGAAACCATCTAACTTTGAATTGAAGCGAGTTTTTTTCAGAATTTGAAAGGTCCAAAGTTCAATTTTTTCCCCCAAACACGTGAACCAGAGTCTGTACACGAATCAAATGGGGGAGTGAGTTGGGCGGGTCCGTGCCAAATTTGGCATATCGTGGCAACGTCTAGTAAATTTACTGTGGACTCCGGGTGTATTTCACAATGTTTGACAAAAATTCCGATTTTGCATGATCCATCGTGAAATAAACAGTTTTAAGCTTCCTTTGTAAAGGTTTCAAGTTGCAAAGTTAGGCATTTTTCAAGGGCTTAGATTTCTGCATTTCCTTGACAAAAATGTCACCTTGAAAAAATGCCCTAAAATTATGTAAAACTGTCCAGACAATTGATGTCCTGTGTTTGTATAACATCCGGTTGACGTGACAGCCAAACATGTGCAGTTTTACAAACCTGGACTAGAAAGTTCGAATATCCATGCAGAAGGCATGTCAGGTCGTTGCGTGCACTTCTTATTTATTTATTTATTTTATTTCATTTTTCATCTATTATTTAAATACAAGATGATTATCTACTTGAAGTCACAGCATTTGGCATAGCCTGTGTGACCGGCTATGTTCACCAGGTTTCGGTGATATCCTGGGGATTAACAATACCTAAAAACGTGCTTTCAAGCCTGGAAAAGTGTTAAAACACGTGTGACGTCATATCGCAAGAGAGTCAGCAATCGCTCTTTGCGTTGTGCATTCTCTATTCAAACTATTGCCACTTTATAATTTTTTAAATGGATTTTATTAAAATTTCGAGGAACGCAAAATTGAAAACTTGTGTGACTTGTTTTGTCTTGAACTTCTCCACGTGCAATCCTGAGGTGCACTCTGGGAAGCGAGAGCAAAGGTTCGTTCGAGACGACAGAGCTTGGACCGCAAAGAAGTTTTTATATCCCATTTATAATTAGTTTTTTTGCAAAATGAATACTCCAGATACTTCAAACAACTCATTTTTATTCACGTCGGAGTCTGTAGGCGAAGGGCATCCAGGTATTGTGAAAATAACGACTCAAATTTAGAAGTCAAAAGTTGTATCGTGTGCTCATGCACGCGATTTGAATATTTTCTTCATTTTGATGGAATAACATTTTATTGTTTGTACTGCTGTATAGATAAAATGTGTGACCAGATATCCGATGCTATTTTGGACGCTCATCTGAAGCAAGATCCAAATGCAAAAGTTGCTTGTGGTAATTTAATTAAACCAATTTTTTAGTTAACTTAACTTAGGATGCCTGGGCAAAAGCTTAGTAGCCTAGTGCAGTAGTTTGAGCTCAAAATATTTTGTTTCATCTTTGTGAAATAAACGAGTTTAAAAAATTGTCTTTTCGACTAACATTGCTATCAATACAAGGTCAGTAAGGTCAGTAAAAGTACAGTGTTTGAAGAATACTGTGGCAACCTTACACATTTCACCTTGAATATAATGCATTCATATGACCTGTCTGCACGCAATGATTGACAGCAAATTGAACAGTTATCAATATGATGAAATCTCCATCTCCATTATTCCTAACACAGTTATCAGTATGCATGGTTACCACACAGAATAGCTCAGGAACTGTGAAGATAACATGTAAAATTACTGTTAAATAGTTGAAATTTTATTATCAAAACTTTTCTGACTTTGATCAGTAAGCATCWCCATGAACACAAGGTTCAAGAGCTTGTATTCACTTAATCCCTGTCAGAGTTCCCTGCTAGCRGRGTCTCTCTCAGTTTTGACAAGTAATTGATAACTTGTCGAGAACTGCAACAAGAGAGACTCTTCTAGAATGGAACTGTCAGGGTTTGTTACAAAGCAAAATTAGCCCATCTCACTTCCATACCTGGCTTTCTGTACCTTGATTGGTCCCTTAAAATAAAAGATATTTGATTGGCTGAATTGAAGATCAGCTGTCATCATATTAACAGTGCTTTGCACTTATATTGACAACTCATCAGGGAAAGAACACCAACAAAGTTTGTTTGGTTTACATTTCTGCTAGGTCATAAAAATGCTTAGCAATAGTTTAGGCTGGGAATGTTATATTTTGGCTTTGCTAAATCTATCTTGTTGACAGCTCACCTCGGCTTAGCCAAATCAAATGGCTTTTATTTTGACTGCAGACAAATCAGGTGTAAGTTGCACATATGCAGTGAACTCAAAATCCATCATGGAAGCAAGAGACACCATCAAAGCCATCATTCAAGCCTTAAAACAGCACTTCATGCTGTAAATAAACTTAAAGCATCCAAAATTTACCAAATAAGTACTAAGCACTTAGCTTGAGCTTCCGTAAAATAAATCACATAAAATAATGACTTCAAAATAGCTTCCATTACTAAAAATTCATGTGATTGATATTTGTAGAGAGCGTTGCTAAAACTGGAATGATCTGTGTCTGCGGTGAAATCACATCAAAAGCATATGTAGACTATCAGAGGATAGTACGAGACACTATCAAACAGATAGGCTATGATGACTCCAGTAAAGGTATAACTCCAAGATGAACTACTTTTATAGACATCTACATGGAGATAGATCCTTTAATATTGCTTAATAGCAGTACTTTAGAACTGAATTGCTATAGTCTGAATACAACAAGTAATATTACAGACATATGCCTAATACAAATAAAATCTTTTGGTATCTATGTTAATGATTGAATAAAACCATTTATTCAATTCAGATGATAAAGTGGAAAAAAAAAATATTTCAGAACAAAAATAGGTGGCTACTAGTGGTAAACTAGTGTGAGCTGCGTCGGTGTTTTTAAAGAAACAGTTGTGTAAAAAGATAAATTTCACACCGTAAAAAAGTATGTGAAACAACTTACTGATGTTCCGGATTTTAATCCTTTGAAGCGTCAGTAAGTTGTTTCACCTTCTTTTTACCATGATTTATTAAAACAACTTATCTTTATCTTAGGTTTTGATTACAAAACATGCACCGTCCTACAAGCAATTGAACAACAGAGTCCAGACATTGCCCAAGGTGTCCACATAGGAAGAGATGATGAAAATGTTGGCGCCGGCGACCAGGGATTAATGTTTGGATATGCTACAGATGAAAC